GTTAACTGTTATAAATTAAATATTGTAAATCTGGGCATAGATTTATGTGTAATAGCTCACTTTCTGTCCTTTCAATTGACTTTTTATTCTTCTAATTTTTTTTTTATTCTTTTAAGAATGATTCGTATTTTTTATTTAATCAATTTAAAAATACAAGCAACACCCCGAGCATTCGCCCGGAACAAGCATATAGTCCCTTTTGATAAACGTACGACTACATCCCAGCCCTTCTTTGCTCTTCTACTTTTTCATCCGTTTGTTTGCCTCTTTTTTGGGAGCCTTGTCGAGCTCATTCTGGAGTCCAAGCTCGAATTCGAGTCGATGAGCTCAAAATAAAAGAAGAGAGAAGCAAAATGATGAGAAGATAGAAAGCAATTGCTATACAGTGCCCGAGATATCAAGGATAGGGTTGAAGTAAGCAAAAAAAAAAAAAAAAAGATGCAGCATTTTGTAAAAATGGAAATGTAAAATTGCAGGTTCTATTGTGTGATCTTTCAACTTGAGATCATTTATTTTAATATTGAATTATCAGAATGCATTATCTTGAACACGACATTCCATTAATTATTTGACTTTAACATCGTACTCTACTTGCTAGTTTAGCAACCTAGTTAGCTACCAAACCACAGAATTACTGACACACCCAACCCCCTTAATTTATTTTCTTTCACCTTAATCATGATGTTTTTTAACCTCTAATTTTGATAAGATAGTCTTTCATGATGAATTTACGAGTGGCGAATTATTGATGCGTTGGCAAATTTGAACTACTAATAATACATACTGTATGTTTTTGTCTTTATTATTGATTGGTGTGCCCTCTTTTCTTGTATAAAAAACGTATATAATGTACTTAAATGACTAGAGGTTAGAAAATACTTTTGGAATGGAAAGTATTTATTGTGTTAGTACTACTCTCTCTGTCCCAGAAAAATAGTCTACATTGAGTTTTAGGCCTTGTTTGATAAACCAATTAAGCACTTAAACTTATTAATTAAATATTTAATTGATTAGCACTGTTTGATAACACAATATCATAACAACTTAATTGCTTAAGAACTTAATTTATTAAGGACTTAAATTTTAAGTGTGTTTGATAACTCAAAGTAGGATGTCTTAATAAATTAAGTGGGTCTGAAATGCTAGTACAAATGTGAGCCTAAAAATAAGTGATAGGCCTATCACTTATGTCTAAACTGAATTCTTGAGACGATTTTTTTTCAATTTATTTATTTTTATGTTTATACTTTTGATATTTTATCTTAAAATATCTTTATTAATCATGATGTCTAGTTCTAAATTAAAATTTATGTAAATTATTTTTTATTTAATAAATATTTATTTTTATATAAAAATTAAAATCCATTAAATTCCATGATCAATATATCTTTACCATAAAATATGAATTTTTTTTGACAATGATAAAATATGACATTAGTATTAACTGAAAAAATAATAACATAATAAAATTTAAATAATTTTATTACATTTTTTAATAATAATATTATTATTTTTATTATCATAGATTCATATACATCAATTATTTTTTTAGATAAAATTATAAGTCGAGATACTTTAAATTTCAGTGTTCAGACTTCAAATTTCAGACATTTTATTCAATGTTTAGATTTTGGTTTTTATCAAACACGACAAACTTAATCAATTCAGTACTTATGATTCAGTCTTCAGATTTCAGACTTCAGACCCAAATTAAGTTTTAACAAACGGGCCCTTAACTTTTGTACTGTTTTTCGTACAAATTTGAAAACTTAATGTGAACTATTTTTTGGGATAGAGTTAGTATATTTTTTTTTTCTCAAAATAAAAAATAAAAATAAATACTCCCTCCGTCCCATAATTATTGTCCAGTTTGAATTTTTATTTTTAGTTCAAATTGTACTAAAAGTGAAATCTAAAACTGGACAATAATTTTTGGACAGAAGGAGTGAATTTTTTTAACATTATCGGCGGATGTTTAGTGTTGGCAACAATAACTAATCCCCTCTTCATAAAATCGAAAAAAAAAAAAAAAAAAGTTCTGGAATTGAACACAGGCCAAACTGATCCCTGTATTTTATTGGGCTTCTATGGTGCGAAAATTGGGCCAAAATCTGGTTCAATTTACTCTTCTTGCCGAAGCACTGCAGCGGACGCCGTCGTTTCACTTGTTCGCATTCCACATTTCTTCCTGATTCTGATTCCTGACGCACACAAAGGGAACCGATCGCTTCAACCTCTGTGTCTGATTCAATCTAAGGCAGATTCCAGTAGGATATCCTCAGTTGTAATTGAGCTCAAATAACTAGGTAATCGTTTCTTCCTTTTTTAATTTTTTTTTTTATATTTATTTTTAACATTTCCAAGGTAGAAATCAAAAAAGGCAAATGCCGTTGCAGGGACTGGAGTGGAAAGGAAGTATCTATCTGTGATAGTTGGAGCCGGAGTGGGGATCGTTGATACGGTGAATCCGCCGATTTTATTCTCCGACGTAATTCGCCGGGATCTGCATCTGCCGGAACACCCGATTTCAGTTGTATTTGAGCTGTTAGGGCAAATTGACACGATCAGAATTGTATTGTAAGAATGACGAGCACTGCTTGTTTTATGATCGTCAGCAAAAACGACATCCCAATCTACGAAGCTGAAGTCGGAGCTGCTCCTAGGGTAAACCGATTCTTTTTCCCGCTTCTGGTTTGAAAATGTTCAATTTATTAGGTCTGAAAAGTCTGTGATCGTTCTACTTTGTTCTGTTCATTATCCTCGATTAAGTAATCCGAATTGATGGCATTGTAGAAAGAGGATGCTGCGCATATGCACCAGTTCATACTGCATGCCTCGTTGGATATTGTCCAAGACCTCGCCTGGACTACCAGTGCCATGTCAGATTGATTCCTTACACCATATCGAATATGACCCCCTTCCCTTCCTTTTCTCCCATTTGTGAATGATTTAGGTTTTGTTTTGATGCAGGTTTCTTAAAGGAATTGACAGGTTCAATGATTTGGTGGTTTCTGTGTATGTCACCGCGGGTCATATCCTTTATATTATGATGGTTCTATTCTATTGCACACATGTTAAAATAACCTGTTCATCTTATCTTGCTCTACTGCATTTGACTATTTATCGATCTTTAGAACAAAAATTACCTGTTATGCAGAATCATTCTTTCTATTGCACATTCTTGTGTTACTCCCGAGCTTTGTAGTTTCTACTTAACTGCTTCTGTTATGCTGTTTCTTTGTATATATGGCGTTGTTGGGACACAATTAACTGCCTTAACTGTTTGCATTCCCATTGAATGTTAGCTTGTTAGCGTACTTTTTGCTTGGTTTTCTTTAACTCTAATGCGTCATACATACTCGGCTAATGCTGCTTCATGACTCTCGTAATGAAGATGGAATCAAAAGCTTCTTCCAAGAAGTTCATGAGCTGTATATAAAGGTGAAGTACCCTTTTAATTCTCTTTACTTATTATTTTGGAGTGCTCTATTTGAACAATGTATGCTACTTGGTCGGAGAATCATATACTAGAATATGCTACTTGGTCAGATGATAATGTACTAGGATATCTCATTTTGATTTCTTCATCTCGAGTCTGTGAGATCTCCCAGCTTCGGTGATTCTTCTCACCAACAATTCCCCTCAGCCCTCAGGGTGGAAATTTTATTTGGCTGGGACTACATAAGTTTGCCTCTTTCATGTCGAAACCAACCAATGTGTATTTTTCTCTTTGTTTAACTTGAAACCTTTGTAATGATCTGCGGTTGTTTCTGTATAGTTTTCTTGCTTATTCATTAATTACTCTTTTGGTTTAGAGGCTAATGACCACTAGAAAGCAATTATGTAATACGAATTTATTCATTATTTCAGATGCTTTAATTCCTCACTTTAGCAAGTATAGAACTTCACTCTGCTCATTCCTACCATAACTTAGTTTGCTTAGCTGTCTTGCAGCTTTTAAAAATCGCCCAAAGCAAATCTTCTGAGGCGCTTTTATGTTTCTCTAGCTCATTTGTGAAATAAAGAAAAATAAATGAAAGGGAAAAGGTGGCTGTGAATAGATGCTGCGTCGCTGCTCCTTCTACTGGACATTCTTGGTCTGGGAAAGAATGGGCATGTTAATATTGCTTGACTTTTCCTTCTCAGTCACAATCTCAGGCAGATGTATCATTGTTAAATATTTACATGATGCAGTACATCAATCTTCTGCACTACTTTCCCTATGTGAAATCATTTGCTTGCTTCTAGCACTCCTTTTTGTAACTTTAAGAAACTGTCGGAGAGACAAATACTCCCTCTATCCCAAAAAATAGGCCACATTGAGTTTTGAGGTTTTTGCTAATAATACGAAATTACAAATCACGAAACTCAATGTGGACTTTTTTTTTTGGGAACAGAGGGAGTATCACTTATTATGGTGCAATCTTCTGTGTATTGGTTTGGTTGCCTGAAATGAGTAGGATGTAATCACAACTTTGTTCTCGTGCAGCTGTAGTATAGCTGTTGGTATCTCTATTGCTTTCTCAGAGCTCATAATGGTTAAAATGCTTCGTTAATCAGTATAGATTTAGAAGTACCCATTATGGATATGTTGTTAGAATGTTTACCGTTCCATATTATATGATGAACTTACTGACTATATTGACAACATTTTTCAGGCTCTCCTTAATCCGCTCTACTTGCCAGGATCTCGCATCACGTCATCTCATTTTGATACAAAAGTGCGAGCTCTAGCAAGAAAACACCTCTGAAACTGCCTTCACATGGAGTTAAAAAGAGTCTGCTACCTTAAAATGTTTCCCAGTGTACACTTGTATGTTTATTACAACATAACTAAAATTCAACAGTATTTTGTAGATTAGGACTCGGATATTTTAGCTTTTTATGGTCATCAGCGCAGTTTCTTTTCCTCTTTTCCCTCGTCGTAGTTTACTTCCAATCCAAACACCTCTTGATCCGGTTTCGTTTACCAGAAATAAACAATAATTCTGTCAAGGTAATCAAACACATAGAAAAAGCAAAAGTGGTGGTAGTAATCAAACACATAGAAAAAGCAAAACTGGTGGTACCTCGATTGGGCCTTTCCTCAGTAGTAAGCTCGCTTTAGCTTCAGTCCCTTACCATGTCAGGACGGCTCTGCATTCCTGGACGGAAACCATTCGCGGACATTACCCACGGTCCGGACATGGCCAGTGGTTGAATCTGGGCCGAAGCCATTGTGGCACACTACGCGGAAATCATATCCAGGCTATATCCTTGACATAGCAATTAGTGCCGGCCAGCAAGCAACTGCTGCAGGACCAGATTTCTGGCCCGAAAGAATTGGAGACATGGCGGCCCAGAATACAGTAGTAAGAGGGAAGCTTGAGCCCTTAAAGAGGAAGCCCAACTAAATCTGCCATCACTTTTATGCCCCCACCTGGGTTACAGACCCGCGTTACCAAGCCCGGCGATTATATCTCCACACCCCTGCACTTATTAATGGTTAAGAATGTGAACAAAGTTCCGATGTGGGATCATTAGCAAGCTTCGCTTTCTTGAGATGGATCGATCAAAAGCTACGGAATTTGGTGGTTTAGAAGCTTCATTACTCCAAATGATCAATGCCCACAATCAATCTGCAGTCCAACTTCGTGAACATACAGGTTACGCCCTTTTATCTTTGTCGAATGTCGAGTAAACATAGTTGGGGTCTTCTTTTTTATTTTTTTGATTTTACTGATAATATGCTTGATTGTAACTGAATAATGATGGATTGGGTTTTTTATTTTTAATTAGAGAAAGCGAAGAAAGATGCAATCACAAGTGCGAAAAGGGTTGCAACCCTTCTGGTGGATTGTGTTAATGGAGGTGTGCAGGAAGCGTTTATAATGGAGAAAAGGATTGAGATGGAAATTCGATTATTAGCTGCTGCTATATTGCGGTTTGGGAAGAATACTGATCAGTGGCTTGCTGCTTCTCATTCCATCAATACTGCAATAAAGGTTCATGCTTTAGCTACCCTCTTAACTTTGAGTGCTTTGTTTTTTCTTCATTTCTTTACTTTTAGAGGCAGCACTTGCTCTTAATTAGAAGCTCGTTTTGTTTCAATTGCAGGAGATTGGAGACTTTGAGAACTGGATGAAGACCATGGAATTTGATTGTAAAAGTATCAATGCTGCAATCCGCAACATTCATGAATCATGACTTGTTTGGGTAACTCTCAACTTATTCATTATTGTTATGAAGTATTCAGAGGATATGATTTGTATGTTACAGTTAGCATCTAAATCTTATAGAGGAAATAGATTCTGGGTTTCATAAAGTGTGTTTGCTGGTGGTAATTCTGAGTTTGCAGTGCAAAATGTGGCTCTTTGATTAGGATGTTTTCCCTTTCAGTTACAGCTCTTGCTGATATTTACTCATTTGATTCATGAAAATGCTTTGCTTCAAACCCCTACTTCTTTTCCTAAACTCTGAAGAGTTAAATCGAGGGTTTTCTGAGGCTTTTACTCTGGCTTTCACAATTTGGTGGAGTTTGGGGAATAGGTGTTTATTGCTGTAACCCTAGAGTATGTGATCTCAACAGTTCGCCTTGTTTTCGGCAGATACATTCTAGTGCTATAATGTACCATAATTAAGATATTTTTATTTGAGGCCTGATATTAATGCATTGATTACGATTTGTTAGACCACCCGTGAACGAAGGTGATGAATGAATATGCTGCCAACATTAGTTATGTGCCGATACGTAAGATATAGATTGCACCAAAAAAATGGTGTACATCAAAGTGGCTTCGCCCACAACAAAAGCAAAATGAGTTGAAACTTTTACATCACTGTTGCAATACCTCTAAAACCTTTTGGATGTCCAGTAATTCTTTTTCCTTAGAGATCAAGAGAGAGTTTTTCCCTTTGGTGTCCTTTTTTTGAGCTTGGTACCAGCTTAACAGGTCTGTGTAGAAGTGGTTGGAATGACCTATGGTCTGATGTAATGCTTCTAGGATGCTTTTACGATTTCGCACATTAACTTTAGTTGAATGTAGAAGTTCTAGAACGGTTTTACAAATTTCACAAATCAAAGGTTAGTTGGATAGATTTCACTTCTCAACTCTGCTGTTGCTCTTCTCTTTCTCTAAGATTCTGTAAGTAAAGATCCCCAGCAGAAAGCCATATTTTATGTAGTTTCTGAGGATAATTGGGCTGGAATTCTGGAAGAGCATGTTCTTTGTTATACATTACAAAGTTTACAGTTCTTTTAGTGTGGAGTGCTCTTGGGCGCCTCTTAAGATTTACTTGGCCATCTTTATCTCTCTTTATCCTAACCGCTTTGTCTATCATCTTCGATAAACTTTCATCGCCTTTCACTTTAACTTGAAAAGGATGAGCATGTATAACAATATAGAATGATTGCACTAACTCTTGTTATTGATGTTAGTGGAGCTTAATGTTCTTTGAATCAATTATGTTTAATGTCTACAAGAATGAACATGTGCACTGATCTTTGTATCCGTTAATTAATTTTGTTGGTCAGAACTCCTATGGGATAAGCTAAAGTTTGCATTTTGTCGCTGTTGGTTTTGCAGAGTTTATCATTATCAGGGTCATAATTTCCAGAGCATAAATTTTCACCTGTTAGTCCTTTGATTGTGAGGCACACGAGTGTCATCATATTCAAGGTTCAATTTGCCTACCAAGTTTCTTCGAGCTATCCTTTCATTGTCAGACTTGAAGGATCATCTGGAACATAACGTTTGCTGTTAAAGAAATCAAGCTGAACAGACTCCTGCTGATATTCATGTTTGCCAAATCATTAAGTACATCAATGCAGAATGGCAGTTTCTGCTGTAATCTTTTTTTGTCCACTTTTCCTATGTTCGGAACCTTGCTGTATATAAGCTACTACCATTAGTCTATAATAACGGCTACAATTTGCATTATTTGTTGTAAATTTGCCAGTTTGTAGTCTTGTAGACGTTTAACTATTCAGATGCCTAGAATTTTTGGTAGGCCTTACAGAAAGAGTAATGAATCTCACTGACCACTTTCCCTTGCTTTCTCACTTCCAGTAGCCAGGCTATTTCTAGCTTTTGCATTCCAATATCAAAATCAAAAGCTAATAGCCTTAATACCAGTTTCGGGCCTCAACTAGGTCAAATTCCCTCTTACATCTACATGCACATCATTCTTTATTCCATATCAAAATCTTCTGGGTTACGTTGGCTTTGCTATTTGTTGTGACTACGAACAATGGCTATCAAGAAGATATCAGAGGCACCATTCCAGTCTCCAGATAATATGCATACTTTCATCTTGGAGCTCAGTGCATGATAATCACAAATCACAACATTTCTTCAAATGATTGTTTCAACTGCAGACATCTCTCACATAAAATCCCAAAAGAAAAATTATTCAACACACGCTACAGGAACAACATTTCTTATATCACACCAACAAAGGTCTGGTACAAAGAAAACCAAGATACATACAAGAAACCTCAAATTCACTTTCGTCTCCCACTCTCCCTAATAATGTACAAGTATAGTTTCCTCAAGTATCATACAACTTAAATTTATACAGAATGAACGTACATTGCTAGTATGATACAAGGAATGGAAGGATCATGGTCATGAATGTATCATAACTCAAAGTTGCAGAGCCAGTATAACGAGGATCCTTCTCCTTGAACTTTTCAGTCAGACCCTGCATGTATTTTGACAAATGTAGGCATCAGCGAGAATCATAAAAGATGTCATGAAATAATTTGCCACAAACTGTAAAAAGGAGAGTTGCTAAATAGAAAGTGAAATTTTATGCATACCTTCACAATCATCCCACATCTGCAGAGAAGAGAAAAAAGGCTCAGTTAAATAAGTTACACACTGGTGCCTCCCTTCAAATGTAAGGGAATGAAAGAAGAAATAGGATGGTCAAGGGATAATGCGAGGATCCTTACTCAACAAAACTGTCAAAATTGAGTTCAACCCTTCTGCCATTCCCTTCATTGTATCTGGAAACAAGAACTTGAAAAACAGAATTGGGTACTGCATAGCCAATGCTATGCAGAGCATCTCTTAGTTCTGTTGCATCAATTTTCCCACTACGATCTCTATCAAATCTTTCAAATATAGCCTAAAAGGAGAAATACAATGGTTAACAAATTGTTTGAAAGTTAAAAGCCTGAAGAAAAACACGAGGAAAGAAAATGAATAAAATGAACTTGTTGGACCAGTTACAGGAATAGAAAAATCTTACTAAGGAAGAAAGTACACTATAAGTTCAAAACCCCAACCACTGCTCCCAGAACCATAATGAAATTGAAAGAAAAAACATTATACCATGAGAGGTTTTCAAAATCTTTGGTTAGTACCAAGAAAAAGAAATCTAATAACCTCAAGTTTTTATAAGATATGAATTATACATGCTTACAGGGACAAGATAACTCATTAGCAACATTTCACAAAATGCACCGAGTCCATTAGGGCCAAATACTTCTTGGTTTAGAGTATACTCCTCGACCGTTGATCTAGGAAGATGACAAAATCACTCACATAACATAGTTCTTTCTACCCTACATCAAATAAGCAGAATATATCCAAAGAGTTTCTGCTAATGAGATGCTTATTCTTTGAAAAATTATGCTTTACAGTTTTAATCACCAGCAATCATACCACTTATGCAGATACAGGCAAGTAAAGACAACCATGTAAGATTACTGGCTTGCATACAGACACTACATACGTCGACCAGCTCGTATAAGAATAATCTCAAGAAGTAAACAGAAGACAAGAGTTAAAGGAAAACAAACCCGCCATTGACTGAGACAGCTCCACAAAGCAGCAAATTCTTTGGGCCCTACAGTTTGAGGCAAGCAACACAGATCAAAGTCAATACGACAGAGATTGACAGAGTAAATCAGACAGTTCCACAAACAAAAAAATACTCATTAACGGGAAGGGGAAAGAACAATAACTGTTTATTTATAATTGTACAAAAATGTAAAACAAATTGTAAACAAATCACATTGTAGCAAGCAAAATGTACCAAAACTGCTCTGCATTAATATTTCTCTTCTGAAAGAAATTACAAAAACTTATATAGATTTCAAGTCAACAGTCAGCAGAAATGGAAAATTTCGTACTAGAAGGAATCAAAGGTTACGATCAGTCTAGCTCTAACCCCCAGATTTCCTAATTTGATCTTACATAATGCCAAGTTTCTTTTGTACACCAGTTCTTCAGTTTCACAAAATAGTAATCATAGACACATTTGCAGTTAACTGTTCATGAGCCCATAAAACAAGAGGCTCAACTAACAGATTGTCATGGAAAAAACCAAGATATCTCCTTTTGACATTCTGGTTTATATTCTGGTCATAAACATCTCTCTTACTGAAAATCATTGGTTGTTACAACTTATACGAAACTTTGTATCGCCACAAAGATTTGTCATGGCGTTATTCCACTCAGCAGAAACTGAGAGCAAAATTTTTCTGATAACAAATATCACATTCTCAAATTCCAAAAACTTAATCTTTTCTCAAATAAAAACTAAAAAGAATGTATTTTAGGTTCAGTGGATGCCTAAGTAAGGATCACTCAAAGCTGTAAAGAAGAAATATATTATTCATTATTAGCTAATATAAACGTTAAAAAAGTTCACACTGTGTCCCTGAACTCTTTTTTACAAATAGCAAAAACAGTGAGCAAAGATAATTTAAAACGAAATTAAAAAATAACATATAATATGAAAAAGCCACGTATTGAAACTATGAAACCAGGAAATCTCACCGATTCTGAGTGCAGAATCAGATGGGTTTTTGAAGAGAAAGATCAGCAAACGGATAGTCCGCAAGCTAAAGCGTTGATAATTCGAAGATAGAGCTTGCTGGAGCTCAGTTTCCTCAATGAACCCGCTCCGATCCCGGTCCACCATCTGGAAGCTCCGAATGACCTCCGGATCAGTCCCCGGCGGGAAAGAAGCCGGCGGATTGTACCCAGGATAATACTGCTGCTGCTGCTGCTGCTGCTGAGGTGGTGGATACCCATACCCGTATTGCTGACCCGAACCATAACCCCCGCTGCCGTATTGACCCGGATATTGATAAGGGGCGGAGGCCGGCGGGGAAGAGGAGGAAGTGGAATGGTGGTAGTAATAGTCTTGAGGATTGGGCGCCCGAGATGGCTGATACGGGTGGGCTAAGTGGGGCTCATCCGGGCCGGGTATGGGTGGGGCAGAGGGAGAGTATGCAGCTTTGTTATTGTTATCGTTTCTGTTGAATGAAGGAGAAGAAGAAAACTCCATTGCTGTTTCTGTGTGTGTACTAAAATGGGCGTGTTTTTGGTTTGAGCTTAGAGAAAGGATCTAGAATCATATATATCTATAAAATATACAGTTGGGGAAGTAGTAAATGTAAATATTGGAAGTTTAAAGGGTTAACTGTGTAAATAAAATCGAAAAGAGGGCGGCATAACTATGTTAGTTTGACCGCAATGATTGACGAAGGAAGCGCGTAGTCATTGTTGCGTGGGATTATACCAAATCCACTTTTGACTTGCAGCCCGCGAGTTTTACTTAATTTCATATTCCTCCCCTCGGCTTTGCTTCACCGGTAAAAACTTCCCCTACCATTAGTTTAAGTAGCATGTCAGTTTACAACAATAATACCATCCTCCTCCAGTCCTCGTAAGAAAAAGTTCATATCGTAAATTATAAATAATAGTCTTTTGATATAATTTATAATAATATGAATTGTTTTTGTGAAACAAAGTGAATAATTCACATTAAAAAGATATAAAGTGTAACAAATGATGATAAATTTAATTTTATATAAAATAGATTGTCGATCTTATATGAATTCGAATATGATAATTATGGATTTGGCAAATCACTGAGGCGTGTTTTAGTAGTCTAGAATTTGAAAGTACAAATTAAACCTCCGTTGAATAGAGTACAAGAACAAAAAGGCAAAAGAATAAGTGGGTCAACACCAAAGCATGAGGATTATCTACTGTATTGCATTGTGCGAGATTGCCATTCGATTAGTCACGAAAGCCTTAAAGCATGGAATTTTGTAGCTAAATTATGTATTACTAAAATTTTTCTCTGGTAACTTTAGGTATTGATTGAACTGTTCAAGAATTTCAAAGTGATCAACCAGATTCGGCATTCATATTTAATGATAAAATGATGAAGCTTGTGGTTAACTATGATAGTAATCACATTCATTTAGAAAAAATGTGTAATTAACTTAATCAATACAATTTGATTACCACATTAATTAATTAATAATCACTTATTCCGTTAGCAAACGGAAAAATGAGATCCTGAGACGTTAAAAAAATTGCCGTTTTTTAAATTGGCGGGAAAAGAAAAGGGAGTCACATTATATAATTCGTGGCGAGAGACATAAAAAAGGCCAGAGTACACAACAAATAAATACTACGAGAACTCGAGCGTGGGTGAAAAAACATGGCGGAGAAAGAGAAACGCCCGGAGAAGGAGAACGGCGAAGTGACCGAGGCGGCTACGGCGGTGGAAACAGCGGCCGGGGAAAAAGAGGAGCTGCCGAAGACAATCGTGCGGCGGCTGGTGAAAGATAAGCTTTCGCAGCTCTCCACCAGCTCCGATGTCACCGTCTTTCGCGAAGCCCTACAAGCATTCTCGGAAAGCGGCCGCCTCTTTATCCACTACCTTACAGCCACGTAAGTGTACGGTTTTGCTTGTTGGTTCAATTGAAAATAAAATTATGTTTTTGATTTCTGTTTGTGGGTATAGTGTTAAACTTTGACTGTGCATAATTAGGGTTTCTTGATCCCCCGATCCATTGCCTAAACGTATCTACCTATGACCGAATTTGTGAATTAGGCTTAATTTGGCTGCATTTGTGAAATCTGTTTGGGGAATTTAATCATGATGGAACCTTAAAGCCTTGATTTATACACATTCCTTTGTTCTATACATTCTTCCTCCGGAGTTGGGGCAACCTTTTTGACAAAATAAATTTTGTTTCGGCTAATGTTGATGTTCCAACTTTGACAGCGCAAATGAGATCTGCAAGGACTCCCATAGGCAAATTATCAATGCTGAAGATGTTTTTAAGGCTTTGGAGGATATGGATTTTCCAGAGTTTATTCAGCCTCTGAGGGATTCTCTTGAAGGTTTTTCCAGCTCTCATTGACTTGCTTTTTCAATTTAGCGTATTATTCTATTCTCTCTGTTTTTTTGTTTTTGTTTTTGTTGGTCTCAAAATGTTTATCTCTAACTTCAGTAATGACTATATCATACTTTAGGTATCTAGGATTCGTCAGTTCCACAAACTCTTTCACAGGAAAGGGCTAAAGATGAATAATTTTACTTATTGGTTTTCATGCTTGAACAAAAAAAGTGAAACAGATTTTTAGTGCTGGGAATCTGTACTTGTCTTTAAAAGGTGGAAGGGATGTGACTTATGGCCGGGAATCTGTATTGGACTAAAAAACAATTAGCTACTTATTTCTTCTCCCATCTCAAGCTGTTTTCTTCCAGATCACAGCTTTGTATCTGCTTAGTTTGAGGTTCATCAAGATTTCCTTGACAAGAAGGGAAAATTGATATTAGTCTTCTTCATATTTTAATTTTGACTTGACATTTTGTCACCCACCAAACTATCTGACACTGTTAGGTACCTCATAAGTTGCCTTTCGTTAATATCTTCTACTGGCATGGGTAATTACAGGGGAAAAAGGACATTTTGCCACCACTTTTTTCCTTCTCATGTGAAAATGTTTCGAGAAGTGATTTGGAAGGTGCAAGTGATTGTAAAACAATGAAATTCTGCTCTCCCTCTTTTATTGTGAATGTGGAGAATCAAGCACTTTTAATTCCTATGTCTAAAGATTTATCCTTACATGCTTCATAGGTGAAAGGAATTTCTAATGTACAAGTTCCTTTAGGGTTTCAGTAACCTGAAGAATAGTCACCAGCTGTAGTGTTGATTTTTAGTAAAACTTTGTCGTAGTTATACAGTTCCATCAATTAACGCATGGCTACTGCTGTTTGATTCAGAGTGCATAGCTTCGTGTTATTAGCCTCTTGCTCTGTGTACTTTGGTTGAGCACCTAACTCCTGTTTGAACTAATTTATCATTACGGGTGATGCTACATCGTAATTTGTCCATTACCGTTTTTTTGGTCTCATTTTCCAGTAATTTTGAGCTGTATGAGCAAGTTGAACAACCAATATTCTCTATTTCCTAGTTAATCAGAAGAAAGCTGGCTCTCATAAATGCCACAATCTTGATTTCTTATACTGGCCGGCATGAAGTTTCAATCATATTTTTATGATCTGCTTGTTTCCCCATGTTCATCATTTTAAAACATTGCTTCCTGATAGTCCTCTTTCCTCTTATATGTGTATAGTGTTCTTTCTTTTTTCAGAATATCGAAATTTGACAGCTATAATCTTCAATATATGAGAGAATACCAATAAGAGAAAACAACTTAGTTCTGTCTAAAACCGGTCTAGTTAGCCACTCTAGAAGAATCAACTTCCACTGAACATCAACAAACTAATTGACAAGCAAATCCACCGGTCAATGACATCTTTTACTCATTAAGTTAGGATGGAAAAAGTGCATTCACCAATAGATTACCAAAATGAAGCATATCCTTGAGAATGTTAGCCGAAAGAGAAACATTGATGTTCTTTTGAGTTATGTTGTCTATTAAAAAGCTGTTACCTGATAGCATTGTTATGCAATCTCTGCGAATCTTGTAATGCCCGTGCTCTCAGAACTTCTCAATGATCTTTTGCTATAAAGGACATCACCCACGCCCTGACTCATGAGCTCAAGTTCACAATTGGTGCTCTCAGAGTAATGACCGCCATTGCAAGTGTTGTTGTTTTAGTTTTTAACTGTTTCCTCGATTCATATTTTGCCTAGGTTGTTTGCTCTACACTCATCTTCTTGCAAGTCGCTAATTCTAGTACTTCTTCACTTTTTTGGACTCGTGATGTCAATGTATATCATTGTTTGAAGTCATATATACTGTAGTGATTCACATGTAGAAGTGTTGCATACCAAAAGTGTTTGAAGTTACAATTTTTATTTTATTTTTCTGGGTTAACTTTGAAGTTACAAATTTCCCTTTAACAATATCGTTCAGGAGCTTTTGCTGGCTTCCAAGTCTGTTACTGGCTTTCTTACATTTTGACTTCTGTCTTACTGATAGAATTTCGGCAAAAGAATGCTGCGAAGAGATCAGTTTCTTCGAAGGTGAAAGAGGTGAACGGAAAAGGTAAAAGGAAAGAGCCCCCTGCCACAGAAGTACAAGAACTACAAAATGGAACTCAAAGTGAAGAAAGCGAAGATGACGAAATGGCTGAGTAGATTTTACTTGTCAGAATGTTCCTTAGAGATAGTAGGCTTATCTATTGTCACATTTTGGTAGTTCTTTGCCAATCAGATATTTGTTGTTAGTACTACAGCAGAACTTAAAAAAAAACTCTGAAAAGTTCTGAAAGGCGTCGCAAACTCTGCTGCTGCCCCCTCATTTTCTGCTCCCTGCAGCATGTCTATGTTATAATTTTCGGAGTTTGTAAATGTTAAGGAATCCAAGGACTTTTAGAGTAGTGATTCAGTTGGCTCATTTCATTCATTTAACAGATTATCGATTCAGAGGCATCCAATACTAATATCCAGCTTCCTGAAAGTCAAATTAACATGGTTCGAAATAAATTATGCTGTTTCTATTTATCTCCTTATATAACAACTTAAACTGGCCACTGGAGTCACACAGCAAGAGACAGAACATTACGTAGAATTCCGGTGACACGCGCCTAGCAAAAGAGATTGGAATATATCTCTGAAGACTCACAGTAAATGGCCTTAATGAAGGGCTCAAAGCTTAAATAAGAAGAATAGGAGGGAAATGAAAACCCTCAAGAAATGTTAGTCTATTAATGTATTTAAAATGGCACAGATTTGACTTCAATAATAATAATAAATTAAAACAATTTGCCTGACCGTCAAAGGCCAATAGTCAACCTTGCTGTAGGCGCCCTAAATACCTAAATAAACTATGTGGTGTATAGGTCAAGAACAAAACAGTTAGTACGGACGATATCTGCGCCCATGGCCACTGTCACTACTCTGCCTGCCCTTGCTCGAGCTACCACTACTCCGGCCACTGCTGCCACTGCCCAACCTACTGCTAACTTTCTGCTGTGGAGGGGGGGTGTATGGTTGAGCACCTGGTTGCTGCCTGTAGCATGAGAAGAAAGAGAAGTTTACATTAGCTATCGATTAGAATGGACATAGCATGATCACACCTATTTGCTCCCAAGAATACAAACTCAAAAACCATATCTTCAAGATTTCAACACCAAAAATCAGGCTTTGGCTAAAATCTTCGACTGTTTGTGCCACATTTTCATCTTAATTTAGTTTCTTGAGTCTACTGCTTTGTGAGCGAGAGCTTGATGGTTAGTCTATTGATACATTACAATCGAAATAATAAACAAACCAACCTGAATAAATATTTCCCTATATATAATTTCAGGGCATCAGATGCACAAAACTGAGCTTAAAAATTCAGGAAATAAAAGATCTGTAGAATCCAGACATCATCAACTTAATTCACTTATGCAAATATTGAACAAGAAGATGCCGCATTTTAACCCTCCTGGAGAAAATTAAATTTTAAAAAATTAAATTATGCACTTTTTGCCAAGATAATAGATCTTTGTTCACAGTTACTGCATGAGAATAAGAGTTGATCAAACAGGGTAATCATATATCGTAAATGATCATTAAATCAATAAATTCATCACACGCCCAGATCAAGAAATTCTTGCAGAAATATGTTGAGTTGGCCATAAAAGTTTTACTGTGTAATCAAAGTGTCAAACCATTTGCTATTTGACATAGATAGAAGTAGTGATTCAAGGCAAATGGAACCATGCCATTCATTGCCTTCATTGCGCACCCCACATGCCAAAGGCATGTTATAGGCATAAAAAATGACATTAACGAAGTACATGGAGAATCGACCACAGGAACAATTGAAGGCGTGACAAATGTGTGATACTTACAGCACATATCCTATCCGTCCATCAGGCAGAAGCATAGGCATCATGGCCATACCAGCAGGAGTTGGACTCCTTCCGTAGATCATAGGCTGCAATACACTCGCAGAGAAATGAAATAAAATCAGTAATAGTTACTGAACTAATTAGTAGTTTTAGCTACAGTCCAATAGCAGTTAAAAGCCAGTTCCAGTAAATTGTTTGCCTGTTCAGCTTCTAGTTTCTGTTTCACTCATCACATAAAGCTACCTTTTGTCATTTTCAAACACATGTAATACAGAAAGCCTTATGATCAATTGCTAAGATAGATTGAATAACAGCTCTCCCTACTTAAAGTGACGTTTCAGTTCTGCTTTTTCACTGGTATCAGAGCAAGTTGAGATTCTGGACTGATCTTCGGTTAAGATCATGAATTTCATACTATATGTGACTTACGGCTATGGAAGAAATGAAGGAAGAACACCTGATAAAGGAAGTTCCAAAGTTCCAATTCACCATGTGGTGGTACAATGGAGTGAGATAGCAAAACCCGGTGATGCATATAGACTAAGCCTTAGGTTAAGGCATCAATGGTCCTTCAGATGGCGAAACAGAAATAAGCTCACATTATATGAATAGGGTGAGGTTGACTAAACCTGAGGGAGACAGAAACCCAAAGAAAAAAAAAAAAATTGGAGACGAAAAGAGTTTTGAGGGGAAGAGGAAATTTGAATCAGGAGGATTGGAAAGGGGGAGAAAATCAGATATGAAGTGTCACAATGGCAATAAGAAAGGATATGTAAGTTATACATGTCCAAAGCACTAGGGATATGTAAAGGGATGAGGAAGCAGCACGCTATGCTCATATGGCTGAAACCCCTCTGGATGGAAATGAGCAGCAAGACAAAGCAGATGACATGAGGTAATGATAGCAAGTCTGACACAGCAGGAATTTGAACAATTTACTAATGCGAAAGGCAAAATGGCGGAAGACATTGGAGGAATACGGAACCAAATTAATCTCGCTCACTCTGATATTTCAAAGGTAGAGACACAAAGTGATTTTATCACATGCCACAAGTTCATGGCTTTCACTTTATTGAAACATCAAAAATTCCTTACTAAATCTAGTTGAGTTTACCTCCTAGGTCCATCATCGAAAGCAGTCCAAAATAACGGATATGTACAGTTATCACCTAAAGTACTCTCCCACTGATAATTTACCTATACCTAGATTTTTAATCTTGTTGTGAGCAAGCTTCTAAAACAGCTTTGGCAATCTTTATTTTGTAACCCTAATCTTTCTGCCATAAAAACCTACAGAATAGCAGAGTCTAGGTGGTTGGGTTGACGGTAAAGAAACTCTATTTTCTAAACCAATGTTCCTTGAGTCCTTAAAGAATTCAAAATAAATGGTGACTGGTACTTGCATATTCCAGCATAAGCTTGTAGACCCATAGCAGAGCAATAAAATTATTCTGTCTGCATTTTGAGAAACCACATATCCACGTGAATGCCATGCAGCATCTGCATCTAGTTGAATGTTGAAGGCTCTATTACTAGCGAGTTAGGTGCCAGTAAACCTTTCCAATCAGCAAAGCAGTACAAACTCGTTTTTCCTTCAAGTTCTATTAAAACTGCTCATTTGACTGCATGCATGCTGGTATCTGGAGTCCATGCAGTCACGTATCTTACAGAGATAATTACTATCATTACGGTACACTGACTTCAGCGGATTTGCTTCGCCTAACTTCATTAGATTTCAAAGTTGTGAAAAAGCCTTGTTCTAAGTCCTTCCTAAAAATGGTTCGCTCAAATGCTATCTTTACATGCAACTACTCCTGATGATTTCTCCAAACCTATGCCCTGGCCAGCATCTGATTCACCTTTCATCTCAATCCCATTTTTATCCAAATGCATAAATTTTACTGCCAGCTACTGGTCAAACAAAACCTGATCCTAATTTTAGACACGCAAACCATTATCCTCTTTCGCCTTCCCATACAATTTATTCATCATTCTAAACAGACTCCTGCAAAGGAAGTTCAACCTAATCCAGCACCTCCGGTCTAGAAATACCGAAGACATGCAGAAATGGGAGAGATGTTTTCAATGATTTTCAGATATTATACATATAAATCTCTAAAAATAACTGTAATTGATGTTTTCAATGATTTTGATGTCAGTGAAATCTCATCCGCCTCCTGATCTCTTTTTAGTTAAAAGTCGTATACGAGATCATGACTTGCAGCATTTTATTACCAGGTAGAGTACTATAGTTCCGTATCATCCTAATCTAAAACCAAGCTAATCGTCTAGTTTTTAAAGGTATATCTGAGCCAAGCTAACTTTTGGTTCATTAATCACAAGTGCCAATCACAAATTGAATAATCTGCATCTACTAGTGAACATTAATACAACGGATCTCTCACATGAATAAAAAATACTCCAATCTTATGCTTGAAAAGCATGACTAAAAGAGAGTACAAGAAGTGAAAAGGCCCAATCACAAAGACAGCAGCTATATGAGCAACACTGCAAAGAATAAGCAAACAGGGATGCATCTCCACAGACAAAGCGGGAAATGTGGAATGGAATAGAAAAGAGTGGAAGTGCACACAAAAGCAGCACATGTTAACCAAAAAAGAACAAAAACAACACAGTCAGCACACTGGAATTAGTAATGAAAGCCAGAAAGGAGAACTGGAACTTCTTGAAAGAGTTATTATCACCTGAGCAAAGTTAGCGGCACCAAATCCAGCACCTACACCATAAGCACCACCAACCAAACCATAACCAACAGGAGGGGAATAACTAGGCAGCAATGCAGACTTCTGTGCATTTAATACTCCGGTGGACTTCTGTTCTGCCTGTGGTTTGGCAAGAGAACACTCCACCACTTGGCCTGGTGAAATCAATAAGATTAAGATCATTTGTCGGTTTATTTGTGTTCATAGAAAGAAGAAAACAAATCTTAAAGTGAAAATCACCATTGATTTCATATTTTTCAGAGCTTTCCAATGCTTTGATAGTGCTAGATCTCTCAGCAAAATGCACAAAACCAATCCTGTTCTTTTCCTGTCCAGGCCTGGCTGGTGGAAGAACTATTTTCGTGATTTTACCATGGTGTTCAAATATCTTCTTTAACTGATCTTGTGTAATATCCTTTGGCAAGTTCTTCACATACACCGCCTTTACCTGGCAGTGGAAACCAAAGACTTATGGGCTCCCTGCGAAGGATCCCAAAGGAACAGACAAGACACATCCCAGTAAAATAAACTCAAACCTGTGAAGTAGCTGAAGATTCAGCATGCTTAGGATCAGCCCAGCTAATAGTTGGAGCATTACTATCCAGCTTAAATGTTGGATTTGTCATCTTCTGCCTTGAATATTCTGCACAAGCATGATTGTAATATTCTACAAACGCAAATCCTCTGTTATTTTGGGAACTTTTAACATCCTGCACGAACAAAAATAGCAGTAAACAACCATATCACTGATAAGAATAACATTTCACTAGGATTTCAAAGCCCAAAACAAAAGGACAATATTAAAAGTAGCAGATCATACAAACCTTAACCAGTTCCACACAAGTAACACCAGGCCCGACCTCCATCACAGCCTTCTTTAAATCTTCATCACTCCAGTGCTTTGGAACATTACCGATGAATAAACGATGCTTGGCTTGAGATGAAGAACATTTAACTTTCTTTCCCTAAGTTTCAAAGAGGAAGAAAAGCAAAGAAGAAGAAAAAGATAATGAGCGATCAACATCCTACAGAATACAAAGAAAAACAAGGATAGGAAAATGCTACAAGAAAAATGTTGGAGATTCCTGTCAAAGTAATAACTAATCAAAAAGCACCGTGTATGCTAAATCAGCTTGACCATAATAATACCTTGAATTCAGTGTTGTTGAGATTCCGAATTGCTTTATTTGCAAGCTCAACATTTTTAAAGGAGACAAAACCAAAGCCCTTGTTCTCCACGGCATCTTTGCCTTTCATTACTCGTACCTAATGCCATAAGATTGACAGCATTAGATTCACAGAAAAATTCAAGATACACATACAAACAGAAATGAAGCTTACCTCTGTAACTTCTCCTATTGATTCACAAAATTGCCTCAATTCCTCTTCAGCGGCATCTCGAGGAATTCCACCAATATATACTTCTGAACCATGAGGAGGAAGGGCAAGTAGCTCAGCATGAGTCCTATTGTCATCTTGACCATTAACTACCTCGAAACCTCTGGCAATGCTCTTTCCATCAGCAGCTCCATTAGAGTTATGTTCCTCATCTTCTTCCACTTCCTCTTCCACTTCTTCCTCTTCCTCCTCCTCCTCCTCCTCTACTTCCACTTCCTCTTCTACTTCTTCATACTCTACTTCTTCCTCTGATAGGTCCTCATTGTCATTGTCAGCGTCAAAGGCTACTCTCTCATCAGAATCATTTGACTTTGTAGGTTCAACATGCTTCTCGGTCTCATCCATCATAGAAACTGGCGATGCATTTGCGCTCGTCTTTGACATCATAGAACTACGCTAGCATGCAAGGCCACTGTGAAGTAAGGCACAGATGCCAGAAGAAATGATCGGAAGAAATATCAATTGGTGGGAAGAAAATGAAATGCCAAGAGGACTTGTAAGGGGGAAACAAGATTTGCATGTGACTTGAGTACTTGACCACAAAGGGTTGCAAAGCGATAGATCCATACAAGGAAATTTGGTAATAGTTTGAATAAAAGTTAAGAAGAGAAAGAGAAGCTTGAGCTACAACAGCAAGGGATAGAAGGAAATGCACAATACTAGGGTTGGTCTGTCTTGAAACAAGAATATGAATGATGTGAAAGATATCAACAAACCAATATTTGCATATTATTCTCATTGCAAGTTGCATAAAACAAGAACAAATGTTGTTGTAAATGGAAAGTAGCTTGTGTGGCCAAGAATTTAACAGATAATTACAACAAAAGCAGAGATATATTAAAAGATATAGCACGATTGTGCCTGCTACACCAAAAAGGATCCAATCAGCGATTGTCCAGTCTCACAAAAAAACAATGTCAGTTCCAAATAACGTACCAAGTTGTACACCTTCCTGCAATGCGCAATTTTAAAAATGGTTAAGAATAATAATTTGTTATGTTACTTATTTTGAATTTGACAATAAAATGAACAATAAGAACTGATATTGAGAAGAAATCCAAAACAGTGTAAGAGGGTAAGTGGTGACTGAAACAAATATGTCAACCATGGTATCAGAATTTCTCAAATAAAAGAATATCACTGAATGGGTTAAAAATCCAACTAAAATGAGTCTCATCTGCTAACAAATATTCCATTGAACCATAGCATCTAGTGAGGCACTTGACAACAGCAGTGAGCAGGACTCCCTCAATCCCCTTTAAACCGACTAAGTATTATATTTGTCATAAGTCATGACTATCTCAACCAAATTTTTCGTCATTCTGTTGTAGTTATCATTAGTTCTAGCTGTGATAATATTAAATAATGGAGATTTTTGTGTCATGTCTTCTGTTCTTTAAAACTTGTGAAAGTTGCTGACAAGTAACTCACTAATAGTCCACCATCCTCCTACAGTCCTACTGAATCTCATACCCAGATAATTTCTTAACTCCACTGTGTGAAGAAAGTAATAACTCTATAAGTTTTGTCAAAATTAAGAGCAGTCCCAAGGAGGCTCTGCATCCAATTCTTGCCATAACTTTTCCGCCACCAAAACTATTCTTCTTGCTTTACATACTATTATACTCTCACAATTTTCGCAAACAAGAATATTCGCACTTAGGCAGGCAATAGAATGGACATAAAGCAACATAAAATATGCAGAGGAAACCAATGTCTACAAAAACCACAAAAAAATCGATATAAAAGACAAGAAAACTGAAGTACCCTTTCAAAACTTAATTCACACCTTCACACTAAACTTTCTCATCTCCCCCCAACCAAATCAAACCACAACAGCGAAATAAAAGATGCAATCCATAAGCAGCATCCTTTTTCAAAACTTTAAATTCACACCTTAAAGTACATTTTTTTTTTATATGATCCCTTAAACTAAACTTTTTCTGCTCCATTAAAATTACATGGATTATAGTAGCAAGTCAGTCAACCAGACATTCGGAACTCTCTCTACTGGACATACCACTATGCAGAAAAGTTCTTCGCCATTTCTCTAAAACTTACAGTTCCCAGTTACAAACTTTCCCCAACTTATCGAACATCAGAAGCACCAAACCAGGAAAGGAAATGGGAAGTTCAGCACTTTGACAACTCAAGAGATAACAGATTCACTAATTCCTAAACATCAACGAATTTGTCACCTCCTTTAGTTTTCAAAACCTCAAAGCAGCAATCTTTACCATAACACGATTTTGTTTATGAAAAACAAAAAACTCAAATAATAAAAGAAATCCATTTTCAAAGAAATCATTCATCATGCTTAAAAAAAATTAATACACCACATTACAACCCTAGTTTTCAGAGTCTCAAACAAATGCAAAATGGAATTCCCAGCTTCATAATAAAAATAATTACTATAGTAACAACAAATCCCAAAAATCAGAGCATGAGAGAAACAAACTGACTGAAATTCGTATGCATAAAATGTGAAGCAGAGAGGTGATTTGAGGAGAAAAAAAAGTACCAAATGGGGGGCGACTGTTTGATTGTTCTTGGCGGAGAGCTGCGACGACGTTTTGCGGAGTTTTTCGGTTTGAAGGACGCAGAAAATCCAAAGCAAAAAATGTCTTCTACTCTTCTTGCCTGGGTTTGGTCCCCTCGTGGCATTTTGACTTCATTTTCTTGTGACTTTTTTTATTAAAAAAAAATTATATTTTAAACGGTTTTCAGTTTTAAAAATGCTTTTATTTCTATATTCTTTTGCTTTTTCTTTTTAGCCCCAAATGTTTGGGACCAAGTACCCTATAACCCAGGAATATTTTTTCTTCAATTAATTACTCCAAGCAATGAATCTATCCAGTTCTCAGCGCTGTCACTTTTTCAAACTGAAGCAATGACATGCCCCATGACTCTCTAAGAGGCTTCGGATTTTGGCCTTCCAAACGTGGTCATCCATATAGACTGTGAACTGTTGACAACGAATCAAAGGCCAGACTCTCTCTCCACGAGGACTCAAGATGTAATAATTATGTTACGTCAATTAATGTTTACATTTCAATCTAGTACTTTCGTTAAAGTTAGTAGGAATGATGTCCGTGATTTACATAATTTACCTTATGCAAAACTACAATATAATAGTGTAGGTACTTCAAATTAATATAGAGGTACCGTTTCAAAAAAAAAAAAAAAAACTCCAAGCGAATTTATGAAATTTTTTTTATCAAAGTCCATTTATTAATTGCTCCTTTATAAAGTTCTGAGAAAATAAAAATTTGTCAATGTCGTATTGACAAGTCAGCTCATGAAATTAATAACCGGGCTTGGTGAAAAGAGCAAATTAATCTTTAGAAATTGATCAAGTTAGAGGTTAAATGTAACAAACTCTCTTTTGAATTTTTTTAGTGTGTAACCAGTATTATTCCCATGTGTTGCACGACGAGTTTTAGATATTATTGCGTTAAAATTTAAATGATATAAGTCTCCATGAATGGTTAAGTATAAATGGCCTATGAACATTATTGATGATCCAACGCAATCAAAATCAGTGCTAAAGTATAATAAATCGTTTTCCATTCAAATGTGTTTAAAAAAGAATGGTAAAAAAGAAAACTTTTGATTTAAAGGACATAAAAGTTTATGTCTACCTTTCAAAAGAAATTACAAAATATTTATTGGAAACGAAAAATTTTAAAACTTTTCAGCTAGTAGTACCATTGTTTCAGTCTCATGGATTGAATAAAAAATAAATTTCTAATAAAATCTTACGTCGAATAAAACTCATCTAACGGTTATAAAACAACCACAAAAATGAAAGCATTGGTGGTAGCAGAAATCTAAAATAATAATCAATATATTAGTTGACTCCTAACAGATAATAAACTCAATTAAATTAACTCTTTGACCATAAGAATGATCAAAATATTTAAATTAAAAATATAGTCACAGATCTTTTTAAGTATCTCAATTTTCCACTTAGGACCCAAGAAATTAAGCCACAAACTTAAATACTGGTAATCTAAAATTAAGTAAAACAGTAAAAACTAAAAGAATGTGAACAAAATTGTTCAAATGTGTTCAGGTGTGTTGACGGGTTTGTCGAGACCCGCAAATATAAATCTGAATTCCAAACAGACCAAAAATTAATTTGTAGAAACAGTGGAATCAGGTCGAATCCCAAGAGAGCCTAATTTCACACTTGATTTTATAAATAATAACATTAAAGTAAGAAAATTTGGGAGAAATTAATATAATAAAAACTTTGGTTCAAGGAACATTGTTCAAATATATTATAGATCATCGACTAAAAATACATTTTTCTACAACTCAAGAATTCAACCGTAGGCTTAATAGGATAGTCGTAAAAATCCTTATATTTTCTAAAAATATTTGACCAAACCTAGCACCTAATCAAAACTTAGCGTAATTTAACTGGGTACGACAGCGTTCCATATTAATATATACTAGCAGTAAAAACTTTGAAAATTTAGTTAAACCAAAAACTAAAATAATTGAGATAACTGCAATTAAAATATTTTTTTCTTATTGATCCCCTAGTTAGACTAATCATGCACATTCAACGTGTCAATACCTACATGCATGATCTGCTAATGTGCTACTTAGTACCAAATGTTTAAAACGATAGCACAGTATAAACAATTTGGTAGCAGTAGGAAGAAAATACTTGATTAAATTGTCATATTAATCAAGTATTTACTCTCATAAAAAGAAATCAAAATCAATACATACTCAAATCAAAAGTAGAAAAAAAAATAAAGTGAAACTTGTAGTCTCACATATAATATAAACTAGGCTTGTCTCATCGCGCGTTGCGCGACAAGTGCGGGTGTAAATTCTTTTATTCCGTTATTTTTTCTTAGTATTTTATGGATTATATTTTGAAAAATGATAAAAACATTAAATCACCTTAATTCCATAGTGATAATACAAGTATCAACAACATCAACATGAGATTGCCAAATTTGAAGGCTTTATTGCCTAAAATTAACTCCTTGTAGTCATCATCAAAACTCTTTATCATACAGATAATTTCAATGCCTCAAAAATTCATTTAAGTGACTCACTATCCACTCAAATGATCACCATCGACAGATGAAACAATACCAAAATGGCTCGAATCTTCATATATGCACCGAACTATGACTGAACTACTTACTGTTTTGCTTTTCGAGTGAGGCATAGCCCCTTCGAATCCATATTAGTAGGTATAAAGCTTACTTAGAACAATGGAAGAATACCTCAAAACAAAGGTTAACAAAATGTACTAACACAATAATACATCAATCATGCACAATGACCATCAGGCCTTGGAAAAACCTGCATCTACGGGCCACCTATGTACAAAAGCCTTCCCATGCTGAAAATCATGGAATCATTCATGCACACAGAGCTAAAATTTGCTACAAGTTTTATCCTCACAAAATTACAAAGATGTGTCTTCGGTGTACAGAAAATCATTTCAGAATTGTCCAAGTACTCAAGCACTTTGGTGTCAAAAAAGAAACTTCTCAAAGCCTAAGAGTAGGATCTAGTGTCAGTCGATCTTCCTCCAATGGTGGCGTCATAGTAGTAGTACTTTCCATCTGGACAAAATCTAGGTACGAATCTCCAGTTAATATGGAACTTTAATGAGATTTTGTTGGATCAGTTACATGTCTGAAGCTGCTAGGCCATAACAGCTCGAGGTTATCCTCCATGTATTTGCTGAGCGACGAATCCAAGGTCGAATCTTGGGCTTGATCCAAATTCAGGAGGACTTGCAACTCTAGTTGTTGTACAGTTTTGATGCACTGAAGAATGCGCTTTAAAGTGCTGGTGACCTGAATGAGGATCCATGCAATGGCAGCGATGATAAGTTGTATGCCAATCTGCTGACTTAGTTCTAAAGAATAGAGGAACGAATAGATGACTATTGCTATAAATTATTTCCAACTTAAAAAGTAATCTTACTACACCTATAAATTAAAAGTAACAACAAAAACAAAAGGACCTCCAAGGGTACTCAATTCATTACTCTCTTATTACCTTTGATTGCTTTCTTTAGAGGGACATCATTAGCAATGGTTGCATATATATGAAGGTGTATCCCAATTGACTCAACTTGTATTGGTGGAAAACGACATCAACAGACCAAGATCCTCCTCTAGCATGTCTTCTGCAAAAAACGGTGCCTTTTCCAGTTGCCTTAACTATCTCAGTAGTCCCCATCATCATCATCATCATCATCATCAATCTTTGGCCCTAGACCAAAATACAGTATATAGACATCAGCCAGCTTATTTTACTTTCTACAAATTCGCATCATCCTACATCATACACCAACATTCTTTTTTCCTTCAGAATTAATGCAAAAAGGAAAGTTCAAGTTATGTTAGAGATAAATCAAGTATTAATGCATACTTGGAGTAGATATTACCTTAAGCACACCACCTTTAACCATAATGAAGTATTACTGTCTTTTTTCTTCTTTTTTTTTTGATAATTGAAACGTTAAGTTCTTCATTTCTTGATATTTATTTACAATAACCCAAAACAAAACTGTCAACGAAGGCATTAACCCTCAACGAAACAATCAAAGGTTTTCCAAAGCCGCCGTCTGGTTGTCTACGGGAGAAGCCCTCCAAATAGAACATATACAAAGTAGCAATATCTGATACCCGAAAGTAGAACTGAAATCAACAGACTATATTGAAATCAAATAGAACTGAAACCCCAAAGTAGGCAATGGGAAAATGTCTAAGAGTGTTCACTATGAATACAATAAAAATATACCATAATGGTTCAGTTTTTGAAATGTTCAATCCAAATCAATCAAACTTTAAGCAAAAATAGATTAAAGCAACCACATCAATTCAATATTGACCCAACACACAATTAGCTCAAACTGATCTTATGCAAAAATAAGATTTTCCAATACAGACTCATAGAGGATAAAGGCGTCTGAATAACGAAAGCAATTTTCAGCGTTGCAGCAATTTTCTGTTAATTAAATATCTGTTAACTAAATATCTGTTAGCAATTTTTTCGAGCCCTATCACCACAGAGAATCAACAATTCGTTAACTAAATATCTGTTAATTAAGGAATTACTAAACAATTACGAGATCCTAAGCTGCTTTTTATAATATTTTATTATAAAAACATTGCAATCGTCTCTTCCAAGGAGCTTCATGGAAATCAATACATGAAGTGAAACCACAGCAGTGGCACTACGATTAATAGTAATGTTGAAGAGTTGAACTCCTAAAGGGGCCTTACCAGCCTTGAGTGAGCATAAATTGTTCAGTTTTCAAAATCCCTCTCGGCTACATGAATTTAAAAACATCTTTTCTAACTAACTCTAAAAAACCAGACTACATTGTTCCAGTCTCGCACAGCCAGAAACCAAAGAACCAGCACCTCTCTTGAATTAGTAATCTGCCCAGAAGTTGATCAATTAATATAATCAAATAATTAATTGGTTAATCAATAAGCTTTCTGCCTTTCTTTACTGTTGCCGAATTAAGAAACCAACAAACCAAACACATAGCTCCACTAATCAAAGATTAAGTGAATTCAATGCCAACACCAATACCCAAACTTCACCAAACAGACACCTCAATGACCAACCAGAACAAATATAGTTTCCAGGAAATCAAAAGGCACCTCCGGAGGTCAATTCAGGCAAGAATTTAAAAGCCAGACGCAGTGTCTGATACCCAAAATTGAAACATACACAAATCAGAATCAAACAGAGTAATAAACTACCACCAACGAAAAAACTAAGATCAAACAGAAAACGATTAAAGAACATAAAAATTCAAACCAAACAAGCAAAGAAGAAGCTGGAAAAAAAAAACGTAAAACTAAGAGAAGATGTTGTTTGTCTTACCACAGTTTTTTTTCCCCTGCCGGATAGAAGCTTCTAAACTTGAAATTTTTCGTTGAGGAACTGGCGGCGTTGAATCATAATTGCAGCTAAACGTTTAATCAAGAAGTTTCCACTTTTCGATTCCAATCTGAAGAGAATTGCACTGGAAAGGAGAGCCTCCTGCAGCATCATCAATTCAAAAAGATTACCACAAACCCAGAATATAAACCAGATCAATTAGGGCAAAGGGACGTTGAAAGAGAAATACTAAATAGAATTGGATGTGATAATGAGAGATCTAAATCTAGGGCCAAATAGAATTTGACTCCGTTGAAAAATTATCGACTCAAATTGTTTCAGATTGGGGATTTTTTTTTATTTAATTCTGGAGAACGACGGGCTGTTCGATTTGTTTCTGCCTTATAATTTGGGAGCCGACACAAAAAACGCCATCGTTTATCAGATTGGGGGATTAAAAAAATTGAAAAAATCCCTAAGTAACGACGTCGTTTTTTTTGTTGGGGGTTTTTCCCCCTCAAGAGCATAGGGGTTTTTTTTTTTCAAATTGGGATATACTGAATTTAGGAAATAACCTCTTTGCCTCTAATACGTTGCCGGCGTCATATCGACCCCATCCGACGGACGAGATCGCTTTGAAGGTGGTTCTGAATATTTTTGGACATTTAATTTCTTACCTATTGTGCCTTTATATTAAGTATAAGGATGAATAAAATCCTTGAACCAAAATAAGAAAATTAGCCACTCATAGTGACTAGAAACATCTTTAGAGGTTTAAAAATAAAATAAAATGCTAAAAGAAAATAGTGGCAAAAATGGAGATAAGTAGCAGGCTAAATGCTCAGCTACGGTGGGGTGGGTTTTTATCAATTAGCAACAAGGCTCTATTCATAGTGCATTATGGCCGAACTAACCCCCACCCCCCCAAAAAGGGACTAACTAATCAAATCTAATCTGCTGATTCTCCAGGATTGCTTTTAACAAATTTAGTCAAAGATTGGCTGCCTTTGGCTTAGTAAATAAAAATCTGCAAAGCAAACAAAATCTCCGCAGCTGATTCATCTTTTTGTGGTGAAATCTTTTTATAGTCAATCTTCGTAAAGAGCTGTAAAAATCTAAAATAGTCAATCTTTCACTTTTTGGTACCTTAAAAGAAAATAAGAATAAAATTCATTAATAATCTAAAAAATAATCAATTTAACACTAAAAAATTATAATAAAATGAATTTTATTATAATCATCATGTGTTCATTGCATATATACTGAATATTACCAATAGATTAAACATGTCACAAATTTTTCAAAAGTAAGACGTTATAAAAAGATCCAACATATTTCTGTATATTAGTGAAAAATATCAACATCATCAGGTTAAAAACAAACTTTAGCAAGAGGTTATTCAAAGCAATAACAATCGCATTGGGAAAAAAATAAAATAAAAATAAGATTGAGACCAAAAAAAAAAATTAATGAAATTTTATACGATTGTAAGACCTATTATCTCGTATCTATTATATATAATATACTAATACAGAAACCATTGAGAGAAACTAAGAAGTATTTTTACAGTGTCATGTAGAACAAAATTCTACGTGGCGTATTATCATGGATGGCTTAAATAATATTTTTAACAATTATACAAATGCCCCTCATAAATGATCATAATAACATTAATAACCTAATTTTGACTGCCTATATTAAAAGAAAACCAGGTAAATATCGCCCAATAATCATGCCTACTTATTACAATATAATTACCTAAAATAACTAAGATAAATTCACCTCTCATCATGATGCGTATAATATTCAATCAGTAACTGATAAATGTATTAATTTAAAATTTGAAATTTAAAGGTTTTATTATCATTCACTTTAAGGAAACTTCTCTTCTTAAATTTTAATAAAATAAATTTAAATTTCAAAATTTAAAAAGATTGAGGCATTTAATCAAACAAGTCCTAATAAGTATAAATACATCTATTCTCTTTCTATCTCTTATACACAACTTCCGGTTAAGAATTTTTTTTTTTTTTTTTGCAAAAGGTCATTGAAACTAATCATCATATACTGATTTATTTAGTTTTCTTTTTTCAGAGCATTTCAGGTGAAAAAAGTTCATGCCACCATACTTAGAAGCTGCAATCACTCCAAATAAAACTTGCCCAACAATGAATACGTGACTGGTTAGTTATAAATTCATTCAGTTTTGATCTTCATTATTTCGAATTATTTGATGAGACCATTCTTTTCCAAGTTATTGTATTATATGCTACACAAGAGATTCATGGAATGAAGAAATTGAATATGAAAATAATTCGGTTATTCTTCTTGGCAATCGGGTTCGATTTGTCAATCGCTTTTGTTATTCTGAAAATTTAGTAGACTAAAACATAACCTAGAACACTTTAAAGACAAGATTATTTTGTTATCTTGAAACATCATGATTTGGGTTTTTGGATCGAAAAACAATACGTTCTGAAAGTTTTTTGCTCTTTTATTTGTGCATGTTATCTTTGTGCACGAGTTTATTCTATTTTCTTTAATGGATTTCTTAAATCCCACTTGATATTATATAAATTATCACTTTATTGATATGGTAGAGTGTTTGATTTTTGTGTTCTAGATTTTAGTGTAAATGAAACTATTATATATATTACAATTAACGTTTTTGTTTTACATATGAAATCCATAAAATGATAAATTCTTTTGCTTGATCTATATTGTAATATTAATATGTTTGTTTGACCCGTCCATCGGACGGGCTTAACACCTAGTATGTATTAGAGATGGTGTATTCGTGAAACTTTACGTCTTTTGTTATAAGAATCTTAATTGTAATAGGTGAGTGATTAAATGTAGATTATGATAGGGATTTTTATTTTGGAACATTACCTGTAAAATCAAGGCTATTTTGAATTGGAAATGTGTAGATTAAATAAAAGTTTACTAAATACATTTACGTTCTCATATTTAATTTAACATATCATGTAAAAAAGGATTAAAAAATAACTTTACATTTAACGCCTTAACTAAATACTATTTTAACTGTTTAATGAATGACCAATCATTAAATGACATGTGTCCATGAAATCAATTGATGGGCAAATAAAAGACACACACTATCACTCCATCTCATTTCCTTTAATATATATATAGGAATTTTTTTTTTCCTGACTGAACATGCAAAGGAGTGTGTATTAGGAAAGTAAAGATATCATTAATCAAAAATTTCAAAACGCCCAAAACACCTACTAAAAATCAAATCAAACATATAAAATTAATAACTGAACTTCGTAAAAAGGGAACAAGTTAATGATGAGAAATTGTTGATCATTGTTAAGAGGTTTGGTAAAGATACTTCGATGTTTTGGGATCGTATCGTAGATGAAAATGAAAAGCCTGCCGTTTTAGAAGCATCACTTTTGAATACCATCTATATAAACTAACCGAAAGGAATTGCAATGTTGGATGCACATTGCAAAACTTGCTTAAGTACAAATATCCCTCTAATCTCCTCTGTAAAGCCCTCAAATCCTGGTGTGTTTAAAGAAATACAATGCCTGATGAAAGTCATAATGCAGGGTTGAGTATGTCAAAACACAGTAATTCACTGGCGGATATTTAAAAGATTAAACACAGGAAGGATGATTATACAAAATCATATGACCCTAAATCAACTGGCAAAAAGACTTATCGTTACAATTGCCAATAAATAACACTAAGACTTCGGTGCCTCTGTACTCAAGAAACAAAAGTGAATTCCTCAAGAAACCATGGCATCTACAGCATCTCCTTCACCTAACGGCACCTCACTAAACATAAACTCGCTCTGGTACTCCATCAAGTATTGAGTTGATCTGTTCACATCATAGAACAATTCATACACTCGGCTAATGTCTTCCAACTCCACAATCCTGCCCTTGCGCTTTTGGCAAGCCAATGTAGCGGATGTTATCAGGTTTATGGCGTATCTTAACGATGTCTCAACTCCAATCTTTGTTAACAAAACCTTTGCCTCTTCAGTCATTTCTACCTCCTCTTCTTGGCATCTGATGTCCAGAATTTTCCTAATATCCTCTTCTGTGTATGGCTGTGTGGAGATGATGAGAAGACGGTCAAGAAAATCGATGGGAATCCCATGTGGGGATTTGTAGCTAGTTCCACGGATTGTTGTGATGCCTCTGTTGGTAGCAACCACTAAGATAGGTGCCATTTCACTCTCCAAGGCACGATTAAGGAATGAAAAGCACTCAATATCGAGCATGTGGACTTCATCGATAAAAAGGACACCAGGCACAATCTCAGCCTTCCCTTCCTCTCTCCATTCTGCCACTTTTGTGTCAATCTGTTCTCTTACTTCTGAACGAATTTCACCAGTATCACCAGTAAAGAGGGCTAAAAACCCCTGGGTCCTGAACAAAAAGTAAAGAAATAATTGATTCTGAGCTGCATTGTTTAACAAATCTTAAGAAGTGCAACACGGCAACAGGAAGTAGCTACATTTGAATTAAAATGTGCGGCATTATCTGTATAATATTAGTTTCTCCAAAATCTCATTTTTTGCATCCATCAAGACAGGACACAGATGAGGCCAACATAAGAGAAACTGACAATCATTCACAGCTGAATCACCACAATCTTGAAAATTTATTCATTTCATTACATAAATTGCATCAACTGGAAATACTCTTCGCGAGACTGATATTATCAGAAGTTGACTCTCCTAAACAGACAAGCTATTCTTTCATTTATATGCACGTAAACATATACTCCCTCCGTCCCATAATTATTGTCCTGTTTGAGTTTTCATTTTTAGTTCAAATTGTACTAAAAGTGAAAAACCAAACTGGACAATAATTATGGGATGGAGGGAGTACAAACTATAACCACCCTGGAGATTTGTTCACTATACTGCACTTGAAGATCCATCTTATGATGAATCGCATACCTAAGATACCTTTCTCGAGGAATGCATAAGTATAATAGACACAAAGTCAGACCGATAATGTACAATTGTACATTGAAGTAGACAGAATTGTCATGATCTCTATACAGCTACAGCCAACATATATGCATTCTCATAAAAGCTACATGAATGTAAAATACCAACTGCCGAGGCCCTTAAGATACTAAATGTACACATAACGATTTCAATACCCATCTTGAGATATCTGTCGATAATTGAATAAGCCATTCCAGCCTTTTGGTATAAGACATAACTAGTAACTGCACGTAAAAGAATCCTGCAAATATTCTATCAAAACTAACATTAACTATAAAAAAAAGGATACCTGCTGTTGATAACATCAATCTCATGAAGAGTCACAGAGTGCACAATTTCCTTCCTCTTCTGCAGCTCTCCATCAGGGGTTTGCACGAACTTTGTCTGCGGGCCCATTGCATCATAATCCCTGGACCTCGAAAACGATCTCCCTAGCTTCGTAATCTTTCCAGAGGCCTTGTCAATGGCAATCACGTCCCCACTCTGCACTTTCTCCTTCCCCAAGGCCTCAATCATCTTCGCTCCCAACTCATACACAGTCTCCATCTCCGTCGTCTTCACCGTCAATTTCCCGGTCTTCGACGCCGCTCCGGACGCCGCCGGGCGGTCAATTTGTATCTCCACCACTTCACCTTCAATAACCTCCGCCTCTTCCTTAATCCTAACTCCAATCGCTTTCCTAAAAGCTTGCATTAGGGCTTCTGTTTTGGACATCTCCAAAGAAAACAGCTCGCTTCCTGCCAGCATAGAAAAGGGGGTTTCCTGGCCTATGGATTTCGCCATACCCATAGCTATGGCGGTTTTCCCAGTGCCCGGTTTCCCAGCAAGAAGAACGGCCCTACCCGCAATTTTCCCGTCCTGGATCATCTTCACAATGACTCCGGCAGCTTTCCGGGCAGAAACTTGACCTACCATGCCGTCGGAGACGGCCCGGGGCTCCAGCGCCGAATCAAGGCCTAGGCCCCGGATGTGGGAATGCGCTCCGCATCGTTCGAGTCGGGTTAGGTCCCGGGTCTCGGATATTTTTAGCTCCCCACCCATGGCTGAATGTGCTGGGACGTTGCAGGGTTTAGGGTTTTCTTTTTCCGAACAGAAGCGGAGCCGGAATAAGGGCAGCGAAGTGGGGGGCGGAGTGTGGAGGCGGGAGAAAGAGAAACGTTCTTCCTTGTCGAGAGTCAACTTTAGTTTATATGTCGATGGTCAAACCGTCAAAATGTGAATCAGAGTTTTGGTCAAAAGAATCTATTGTATTTCCAAATTTATTCTTAAGTCCTAATAAACAAATACTAATATATAACTATAAAGTGATTCTAATTTTAGTCACTAACGTAACATATCACACAATTTTTCGGTTTTGGTTGGGATTATGAAAAATTATATTGTATCACTTAGTTGCATCAGGGTGAAAGTAGTAAGAAGGATTAAATTAATTTCTTGAGGGTTTATAAAAAATTTTATCGTTACAAATCAAATTGTATTGAGAATTTATCGAAAAAATATCAGAGACTCTAATAAGTTTTATCGGAAAAAAAATAAGAGACTACAATAATTGAATTATTGCTACATAATGAGATAAAATAAAAGAAGACTGATTATCACTCAAGACAAGTTCAAATCTTCAATACATTTTAGAAAAAATCAGCTTTCATGAATGAGAAAATGAGATCATACTGTCTTGCCTGACATTCTTTAATATTTAAAAAATGAAAAATAATAACGACGAGAACCTACCAGAGTCGGACATTCTTATTTTCACTGTTTGAAACGCAATGTAAGAGCAAGGAACCCGGTACACAGGATCAAAATTGGAATTGATTCAACAAGATGAATGATTTGTCAGTAGCTTACAAAAACTATTGGAAGATTAATCATTTCCTCAAGTGCTCTCACCAAGATCTTCCCAGACTGTGTATATATGTATAAGAATTAAAAAGATCGGTACAAGATTGGAAACTGAAATGCCTCATCTACAAATCTTCAAGACATTTCATCTCTCTGACAGCAACTACAATCGACAACACATCCTCTTGTTGCAATGCCAGCCATTCAATCCCCGCTATAACTTTACATGTTATTAATGAATATGTGGATCGCCTATTTCAGGTATTCTAACACCCCGCGATTTATCTCCTCCAGGAAGGAAACAAATCCCATGACGCTAGAGAAGCCGATGCCTTCCACATCCTGTTCCTCGATTAGATAGTTTTCAAAAACTGTGGCATCATCCTGCCCTCCTCTGATAAACATGAGTTTCGGAGTAATGCTTCTCTCTTGCTTTAGCTGGTTTATGGTAGTTCTCAATAAACCTGGTAGGATAGAAAAGGAAATCAGGGGGGCTTGAAAGAAAAAGTCCTCTATACATTATCAATTTAAAACTCCATTTTGAAGTTAAATGAAAACAGCAAGAGTTCTAGAACAAAAGGCAGAAAAACTTACAATCTTGGGGTGGAGGAAAAGGGAGTGACGCGTCTGCTGTGGAGGAATAAAATACAATCAGAGTAGTGAAGGCATCAAGGAAAAATATCGGACTTCCACTCGTCATCAATGCAGCACGACTCAAGGAATGGCGAGGAAAGGCTTGTTTATCCGGGGTGGAATACGATGTCAACATTGGATATATAGCTCGGAGAAGAGATGAAGGTTCCAAAGCACTGCATCAAAAGTTCAAAATGGCGAATTATTACATGAATCTCGGTCATATGTCAGAACGAGCCAGAAAAGAGGACAAGATACTTGAGAGCTTTTTCAGTAGTTAAAAAACAGTCTTCAACCTTTAGTACACATGCTAAAAATTTTAAGTATATTACAATGACAGGAACATAAGTCAACTCCGAATAAGATGAAAACTTGGGGGTTAAACCAATCTGCTCATAAAACTGAGTTCTTCAACCATTATTATCAGCTTATCAGTTGCAACCAGAGTTGGAAATCCACAAACTTGAGCAAGATCACCACAGCGCAACACCATATTTAGGCAAAAAAGCACCTTGACAAAATAATGAAGCTTTCTTGCATGTTCAACGACATATAATCAAAAGGAAAACTTAAATTTGCCAATCACAGAACCAAAGTGCAAATGAAAAAATGGCAGTTCATCACCATGTCCAATCTACTAGCTAGATATCTTCTCACCATAATCTACTTAGAAGTACACAAAATAAAGACATAAATGTTAAACACGGTAAATCATTGCTCGTGTTAACAGCAACATTATGAGATTAACACTTCCTGCCATACTGGAACTGAGCCAAAACCATATTTCACGATAAACAGAGCACAAGAAAGCAATTTAACCTAAGGCAACCAGAATGCATAAAAAGTCTACTGACATCTGAACTTACTGATTCCATGTTCTCAAAAATCAAGATAGCAACAAATTGACATACCTGAATAGACACTGTAGGTATATCCGATAATCTGGATGAACACCTTCTTCATGTAGGCGAAGAAGAGGATTTCGCAGCAAAGCAAATACCAAGCGTGGTAGAGGCTGCAGCTGAGGACACTGGGAGAAGGCAACATCAACTTGTGGTCCTGAACTTCCATGCTCAAACTGAAGAAGTTTGAGAGCATCATTGTACTGAGCGGTGAGGATAACAAGCCAATCATGAAGCAACATCCTGCCTTCTCGAACTCCTTGTTCCAAAGATGCTAATATGACCTGGGACAAAACAACAGATTTCAATGACGATCAACTTTCATAGGGAAGAAGAAGGCAACTCATTACACACATGTTGAACATTCAAATGACAAAGGAAAGCATATCCTTTTGTATCAACTATAAATTTCTATTACACTCAGGTGCTATTTCATGTATATACTTCTATCATTAAACCCTGGTTTTCCGGGTGAAGCATGCTGAGCAAGCAAAATCAAAATACCAGTGCTAAGGCGCAAAGACTAGAACAGATCTAAGCACCAAGCCGGCAAAAAAAACCAAATCATTCTTCTAAAAGCACAACGAGAGAGATTATGAACATGTGAAGCTTATTTGGCCTACGAATGAAGTAGAAAGTAACAAATTTTATTTTCAAATCACATACATGCTGAACTGATCAGCAACAAATCCGGAAATTAAAGGCACGTGTCCAAAAGATGAAACTTTTGGCACATCAACATGTAAATATTTTACACAAACCAACATAACTGTTAATTATTTTAGTATGACATCTACGTTCATCTCTTCTATTTGTCCGTTGAGGCGAAATGAAGGACAAGATATTTCCAACGGAATGAGACTTATGATGAAGGTTGCACGACTGAGTGAAATTCATTTACCTTGTGAACAAGTATAGACAATACCACTTCTGGATCAACACTGTCATAAATTTCATTAAAATTATGAGCGGTCCCTAGTTGTATAGTGCGGATCCTTAATCTTCTCTTTAAGGAATGCTTGTTTCTGCATAACACATAATGATACAATAAACTCGAAAAATCAGTAAAGCGCAACGGTCAAGAAACACTACTATTTAGCCAAAACCAAATGCAGAAAGTAGTTTTTTACGTGTTAATGGTTCTTTGGAAAAAGAAAAGAAGTTTAATGCAATAACAAGTTGTTCAAGAAATAATTTTTTTCTTCAATTAGAAACATAGAGAAATTATGTTGATGCATTTCCACAGGAAATGTTCGAGGTGTTGATGATGCCATCGACCTTAAATCATTCCTCATAAAGATGGTTGTGATGGTACACGTAAAGTTACCAAATTAATGAACACGTAAAACTTGCAGGTAGAAAAAGGTTAAGTTTACCTGGTAGAGGAACTTGGAGATGAGCTCGACAATTCCTCCGGGGGTACTACAACCGTGTACTGAAATGCAAATTGCAGCATAGGAAGTTCTGAAGTGTGCCTATAACAAAGGAAAAATAACATTCGATTATCAAATAGCAACAGCAAAACCTTAAACTAACCCCACCCCCCCCCCCCAAAAATAAATAAAAAGTATAAATAAAAATAGAAAATCAAACAGATGAACGGTAAAACTATAATCCACTATCACAAGGAAATGAGTCTTTTACCTGGAAAACCCAGTATCATTTGCAAAGTCAAAATCATAAGCGTAGGTGGCAAAAGAATCACAGCAAATGATGTGTTGGACATTCTCATATTGCGGATCTGGGAAAAAATGACCATACTGTAGAATGTAGCATGAGTGGTCAGACCTATAAACTAATCATGGAAAATCCACAAAGTCTTAGATAAGGATGCAACTTACAGAGTGGCCAATTTTGAATTCAGAGGATGTTCTCAGACGAAGAACACAATTAAAAGCATATGGACGACTCAACATGCGATACCTGCAAAAATGATTCTCATTATACAGGATCAGAGTCAAAAAAGATAATTTTGAAAAACTAGAAACTAATTGCAGTTTTTGATTTTAACATAGACAAATATAAAACACTAGAACTGAATTGAACAAGAACAATTGAAGTATCATTGAAGCACTTTGCTTGTACACATTACTTACATGTCCTGAGGAAGTGTTGAATTGTCTGTATTTGCATATAGAAAAAGTGACCCTCCACTCTCGATACTTAGAAATTTTAAGGATGCTAGATCTGTGTACTCATTTGTGACGGCAAATATGTCAACACAAACACCTGCTTGAACAGCAACAGCAGCCTGAGAAATATATGTCAATGTTTATCCAAATATACTCTAGAAGTTCATTTGTAAAAGAGAATGCATCCTAATTACCAAATCTTTATAGAAAGGTGTCTGCTCTGGGAGTAAAGCACGATCTGCATCCTCTCCTTTACTGGCATATTGCTCGCCATATCTTCTTGTATCAAGTTGTCCAGCACCATAATCAGGTGGACCAGACAGAAAAGCGAAGATTCTCCCTATACGTTAATGAATAAAAAATTTAGATAGACAATCAATAAGGATCATATTCACAGACAAAAATAAAGTGGCATCCAAAACCCCACATGAACTGGAGTTAAACAATAAAGAAACTTAAAAATAAGACATTTTTAGTTTAATTTTAAAAAAGGTACTTGAAGAACGCCTTTAAAGAATATCACAAGAAGTAAAAGAAGCAAAGAGATTCAGCCTTACCTAACGCAAACGTATTCCCATATTCTGACCCAAGATAATTCAAAAGAGCATCCATTGCCACACCAAAACCTCGTCCACCTAGCAAAACTCCATCTAATCCTTGACCTGCAGCAGTGGTCCTTTCCCATGAATTTGTCGGTCTCAGGGTTTCCAGAGCAGCAGCAATACGATCCTTACACGTATCAACCTGATAAAAGTTGAGAAGATGTATTAGGGCTACTGGAAGTTGCTCCTAATGCACCAAATAGTTCATAAATCTTTTTGTATAAAGCTACAGCAGACTGTTCGTAAACCTACATACCGGGGCCAAAAATGAAGATAAAGGCATCACATCCTCAAGATCAATTGGAAGGCTGCCATCTGAATCTGGGGGAATGAAAACGTTCTTCACCACTGGAACAGCACCTTGCACATCATATAGACCAACTTTGTGGCTAAAAGTAGCCAGACCAAAGAGGGATCCTGGCCCAAGAGCTGCAAAAGAACCGGAGTTGCATCTGATAAGTTTCGATTCACTGATCACCAACCATATACCATATGCTAATAATCCTAATACCACTCACCTTCCAAAGCAGCTAAAAGAGCACTTTTTATGAGTTCCAGAAACTCTTCTGAAGCTGTGGAAGTTCAGCAAAGTAATAAGTCAGATCTACTCCTATTTAAACACGTGAAAGTAAGACTGAAAACACAAATTATCAAGAAGCCCAAGATATTCTCCAGGGCCTCCAGTCTACAGTTATTTTAAGCAAAAAATATGATGGGAAGGCAGTTTCAAAATTATAGCAGCTTATGCTTCGCATCAAGTAGCTAGTCTGACTTCATAGAACCTAAGTAACAATTTAAAGCTCATATAATGTAAAGCAGTCCCTCCACAAATATATAATTTCATGAGTAATTGGCGCTAACACATATCAGGACAATCTGACATTTCAGAACAACTTGATAAAAGAAAAGGATGAAGAATAAAGAGAAACCCCAAAATTGCTATTTCTTCTAGCTAAGGCAAAATAAAAGATGACTGGCGAGAAAACTCTGAAGGCATGTAAAAAAGGCAAATCTTCGCAAGAGAATGGGAGATATTTTCAAAAACTTAAAAAACCTTCCTCGCACCTATATCTTTGATAACCTAAGTCAGCAACGTGACATTAATTTTTTCCCCTCTCAACCATTGACAACTCAAAACGACTCAGTAAACACCCCCCCCCCTCTCCCCTTACATTCTTGACACAAATAAAAAAAACCACCAAATATTCTACTGTCATTATAAAACCGTCAACACATAAGCTACACTGTGTTAAACTCACAGAAAAAAACTGAAATTTACAGAAAATCAAACGAAGAAAACACACATATCAACCGTTTTTTCTTCTCAACTAATCAAACTTACATGAAAGATCCACTGCAGCGACATACACAGGGGTTGGCTGTATTTCTTCTGATTCTTCTACTGCAGGAGAAAAGCAAAAGTATACTACCATGTAAACGTAGAGTAATATTAATACAACACCGTATTGCTTTCAATTAGAGATGAAACAAAAGTTCCCCAACAGCAAAGACCAACTATACGCGGTGGAATCATTTGAGAGAACCCGTTATTTGCATTCAAGAAATTCGATATTGCCACATTTAGGAATCATAAAATGAATCCTAACTCTGAGCCACCAAATTAACCACCAGCACTATTGGTATAAAATGTTACCAACGAAAACGCATTGCATCTTAATATGTCAGCTAAAATTCAAAAGAAAAGAAATGAAAGACCCATAAGAAGTTCTAAATTGGACAAGATCACGAACTTACAAGGCAATTCCAGGTCGATGAAAGATGAGGTATTCTCGGGGCAAGACTGGGGAAGAGAGTAGCGAGCAATAGCTTGGGAGGATAGACCATTAAGGGTCCCACAGAGAGCACAAGTCCATGCCCACTGTTCTTGCTCGCAGAAAGTGTTGTAGTAAGCCCAGCAATTCTCGCATCGGGGCAACAAGTCCCCGTCCGATCCGTAAGCGGGAGGGTTACCGTTCTCGTCCCTCGCGGCGAATGGCGTCAGTGTGACTCCCCATGGCAGCCCACATGATTCCAAGGCATCCTGGTTCTCCGGGAACCGCGTCACCGTCGCACGCACCGCCATCGCGTGTCGCCGGAGACGAAAACGGAGAAAATTTAATCGGAAATGCCAAAGGTTTTTGAGAGGTTTTTTAGTCGTAAAAATTTCTCAAGAGGGGACACGTGAATCTGGCTAATAGTAGCTTGCCACCTCAGCCAGCACATAGTAGTAATAGTAATAGTTCCCCAAAATCCTTTATGCCAATAGTTATCATATTTGTCTAATTAGGAACGTTTGAAGTGATGCAAATTTTATGTAGTAAAAATTTACATACAGTATAGAAAAGTTTTTTTTTTTTGGAATTTTTAGTGTTATGGATTTAATTTTTGTACATTCTTTGTATTCTGATCACCGTAAATATAAACCATAAAATAAAATAATAATAAATCACTGAAAAAGCATATGGATTGATTTGGATCGATTCTATGTAATTCAATCCCGTTGAGGTAATATATTCTGTAAATTTTATAGTAACTTTCAAATCGACTTAGTCATTAAGTTTCTTAAGCATCATATGCTAAATTATGTAATAATTTATCTCATATCAATTACGTTGTCAACTCTTATAATTCACAGCAAAAATTCTTACAATTGGAACTTTGTATGAACTTTGATGTTGATTTCTAATTTCGACCAGGAAGTTAAGAGGTTCTAAAATTCAAGAGTGAACTACTCATATCTATGTTTTAGCTTACTTTATTACTATCGCAAATACAATATCTACGATTGTCAAAAAAAATAAAAATAAAAATAATAAAAAATAAAAAGTGGTAATACTATCATCGACTGACTTGGTCGACTTACCAACCCGATGAAAACTCGAAATGAAGCAAAATTTTGCTACTTGTGCGATGTGCGCAACCGAAGAACTGTTGACTCTTCATTTATGTCACCAGTATTGGGTTCCATTCCTATGACGTGGTAAAGGTAATTGGGAGTTGGAATAGCAAATAGAGTAAGTAAATGATTCATTATAAAAATTTATTTTGTATTTCTTAATGACATACAATAGATTAAGTAAATTTATTACTTCGGTTCATATTATAAACCATTTTGATTTCTCTCAAATTTCATTTACTGTATTTCTTAATGAAAAATAAAAACTTTAAAAATACATTTCGCATTTATTATGAATTTATAAAGTATTTCTAAAGTTTTAATTTAAGAATAAAACACATGCTCTTAAGCTTGCAATCAATTCTCGCGACTTGTACGTATGCTTCTGCTGCATCCCAAAACAAAACAAACCCCATGGATACGGACACCATTTCTACAGATGATTCTTTAGCTGATTAAGTAGACAGTTAGAGGCAGGTTAATGAACTTGGTAATATTGTAATAGACCTTTGGAACACTGAAAGTTGGGGTATTTGATAAAATTCATGACGACGGTCTTAAAATTCATAGTTCAAGAAGAGCAAGACTGCTCTAACAGAATTGATCCAAGACATCCGCAATGAAATTCGGTAGGGAATCCAAACTTGTTGTATAAAAAAGTTACTCCCTCCGTCCCATAATTATTGTTCACTTTGCCAAAAAATTTTGTCCCAAAATTATTGTCCAATTTGACTTTTTATGGATCAAGTTACACATTTGTCCTTAGTAAAAAAACATTATCCATAAAACCTTAGTGGTTAAACAATTACTTATGCAGGGGTATATCCGGTTATTTAAGGTAAAATATAGTTAAGTTTGACCAAAAATAAAATCTTTCATTTTAGTAAAACTGGACAATAATTATGAGACGGAGGGAGTACTAATAAGGACAAACAATTCTTGATATCAATTAATGTACAAATCTGGGGACATGAAATATGTAATAGTGACAACAGACCAAGGTATCAAATGTAATGAGATTGTGATCATAGGAATAAAATTCTTTTACTTTTATCTAAAAATAAATAAATAAAGTCTTATTTTGCCTCTATTGAGATATATAATTCATTTATGTTGTGAAATAAATAAATGGCAAAATATTTATTAAAATGTGAATATGCGTAAAGCAAGGAAAACTATCAAGCATAGTATTTTGATTTGATGTACAACTACTTTTATGTATTTACAAATTTGCCATGTTTGATTATAAATAGGGAGAAAATGCAGAAGTGTACTTGCACCAAAAAAAAAATAATAATAATTACCTGAAAAACAAAACTTCCTCCCATTTGCTTATTTTGTTTTTCTTGCCGTATTTTTATTTTCAAAACTATTAATTATTTTCTCTCTCTCCTCCTGAGGCTTATAATTAATTCACGAGATTTTAATTATTATAATAAAGTCTCAAGCACAGAAGTTATTATATATTAAATACATCATTTTTTATATAAATAATTTATTTTAACCTTTGTTTGGAATATTGTTCTGGACATTAGTTTCAAACAATTTATTTATTTATCTATTTTTTGTTGTTTGGTTTCTTCAAAGCCACACATGGAAGATGCAACATTAAGATGATACTATAAAAGATTTTATGTGATTTTTTGGAATTACTTTGTGTAGCATTAGATGTACATATCTTAACCATTTTGTTAGGATATTAACATTAGTTAAATTAAATATAAATACAGTGTGACGTAAGATCTTATCCATATTTTTCTTCGTGATTTCTAATTTCATTGTGGTAATCTCTATGAAGAAAGATCATTTTTCGTATTTGGCCGGCGAAATCAAATTTGGGTTACCTATAATGATTGATTAATTCCCATGAGAGAGGCATGCTCTCCAAATGGAAGGAAATTCTGATTAATTTGTAATCTTTCCTCTCTTTATTGATTTGATTAATTATATTCTTATAATTAAAAATAAAACCTTAAAAACATAATTTTACATTTATTGTATTGTTCCAACTATTATAAAGATTTTATTTTTAGAGTTTATCTTCAATTGAAATAACATATTAAATGATTTTTATAATAAATCAAAATCCATTATAATTAATAAGAACCGGGCTTAAGTTTAATTAGCTGTACGCATGTGGGATTCATTTATTAATCAAAATTGTAAAGAGGCTGCCACGAACAACCAACAAGAAGATGAGCTTGGTTGGTTGTTGACTCTGACATCAACAATGGAGATAACAAAGCTTTGTTATTTAGTTCCATTTTCGAGACTTTGATGACTTGTTTTTGTTTTCATTTCTTTTCGGTGTTTGGAGCGAAATTTGAACCATAATTTTGAAGATGATGCCTTCATAATATTTACCTCTTTACTATCTTAATCCTTCTATATGAAGAAAATTCTTTTGGTTGATTAACTTGTAGGGACAAATTGAGAAATATGGGGAGAGAATCTATAGTATATATATTATATATTATACTAAGAGAGAAACCAGAGAGAGGAAATCAAACTTCTCCTCCCGTTGACACATAGGACAAAATCCTATGTGTCATTTTCCTATAGATTGACACTAAAAATATTTACAACAATTATACAAAGAGTCCTTTGAATTTTCAGTTAATAAATTATTATCAATTCTTAATTAAAGTATATCAATTAATTGTGTGGTAAATTTTCTATTTTGCATTCCCTAAAATAAAAAAGAAAACGAGAAATTTTTAAAATCTCAACATTAAATAAGATTGATTTGAAAAAGATGTGCCCATGGCTTGGATAATGGTATTAAGTCTTGATTTGATCATTAAACAATATTAATGATCATTTGAAATTTGAAAATAATAAATACAAAATCATCAGTGATTCTTTAATTCAACATTAAAGTTGATTGATTGGAAGAAAATTTTTTATGGGCTTGAGCTATGCTATTAATATTGGTTTGATCATTAAACAATATTAATGTTTTTTTGAAATTAGAAAATAATAAATACAAAATCATCATTGATTCTTTAATTCAACAATAACACTGATTGTTTTGAAAAGAATTTTCGATTGGCTTGAATAATGTCATTGCATATTGGTTTGATCATGAAACAATATTAATGTTTTTTTAAAATTCGAAAATAATTAATGAAATTGTAGATAATAATATATTTTTAGAGATATATCATCTATAGTCTATAGTGTTATACTAAGAGAGAAACCAGATAGAGGAAATCAAACTTCTCCTCCCGTTGACAAATAGGACAAAATTCTATTATAGGTTGCCACAAAAAATATTTACAACAATTACACAAACAGTTCTTTGAACTTCCAATTAATAAATTGTTATCATCTCTTAATAAAAATATATCAATTAATTGTGTGGTAAAATTTCTATGTTTCATTCCCTAAAATGAAAAAGAAAACGATAAATTTTTAAAATCTCAACAGTAAACAAAATTGATTTGAAAAAGATTATCCGATTGGCTTGGATAATGGTATTACGTATTGATTTGATCATTAAACAATATTAATATTTATTTGAAATTTGAAAATAATAAATACGAGATCATCAGTGATTCTTTAATTCAATATTAAAGTTGATTGATTTGAAAAGATTTTTTGATGGGCTTGAATAATATTATAGATATATAAAGTGTACTTATGAAACTCAATTGGGTTGCAATCCCAGTTTATACCGGAATCTTTTTTTCTTCTTCATCTTCTTCCTCTTCCTCTTCCTCTTCCTCTCCCTCACTCCCTCCCCCCTCTCTCTCTCGAATTTATATTTTTCTTTTTAATAATCATTATTTTTTTTTGTGCCAAAAGATTTTCACTACTAACTTTTGCAAGTTGTGGGCAAATATTTTTCTGCAACAAGATTTTCGAATACACATCATGGTGAGTTTTTTTGCCAATCTTAAGTAACGATAACAATGTTTGATGTTTTCTTAGGGACAACATGTGAAATATATGATGATGATTCGCGAAAATGAAATATGTTTAACATATATATCAATATATGGATCTCTTTATTTTTTTTCTGTAAATAAGTAGTGTATAAAAATTACTTTTATTGTAACATTATTTAATTTAGTGATTTTAAATTTTATATCAATTTATTAAAATATAAAATATTTCTTTAATTATTATTATGTTGGATTTTATACATCATTTATTTATCCCGCACATCGTGCGGCTACCATCTAGTAAATTTATATAATACTTCTTTTGGCCTGAAATTATTGAACTAAAAAAGTAAAAATTTAAATTGGACTATAGTTTTAGGACGAGAGGAGCAAAATATATATAGCATGTAAACGGTGAAAGCAATTGCATGTGATCATGATGGATGGCCAACATTAATATTAATATGTACTCCTTCCGTCTCAGAA